GGGCCTCTCGGGGGAAACGAGTAGCCACTGAACACTCAGATCAGCGGTGGAGTGGCACTCGCCGTTTTTTAAATCCGGTTCTTCAACTCGTTCACATGTCACCGACCAAACAGCGGCAGCGGCAGCGGTTGCGGCAAATCGTCATACCGCCGAAACCGTTCATTCGGACCCAACGAGAACCCTTCTCTGTAATCAAGGTAATTAAGCATTTTGGCATTAATAAGTTGACACCGTGAAAATCGTCGTTTACAACCAATGGATGCGGATTGCATTACAGTCAAACTGTTTGTGTGAAATTAGTACAGAGGACGAAGAAACTTGCTGAGTGAATTCCTTTTGCAGGTCTGCATGAATGACAAAAAACCATTTGTCCCACATAGCTCGAATATACTGAACAGCTGAAATTGTTCAAACGTTGAATCCAGCCTTGTGTACTGATGTGATCACTGCGAACCATTGGAAAACCTGCCTCGCGACTTGAGAAAACAGCAGGTTTTGAAAATGGATGGATAAGGTCAAAATCTCAGTAACGGGTTCAACTGTTTTGCAGACCACAAGTCCTGAACGAATGATTATATTTTGCTACGTTTTTATTTATGTTTCTCTATGAATCCATTTCAGTGAATTTCAACTATGCATTTATTTCATTGTTACCATGTACGTACAACTTATAATTCAAATTTATGCCAACCGTACTTTCATCTTTGCAGTATACTACTTGAATACTTGAAAATCAGTGCAAAGCGAGGAAGTTCAAAAGAGACACCGAGAACTGACGGTATCCGACTATTTCATGTCGCCAAGGAATTCACAGCTGCTTGAGACACATCTTGTTATACCCTAAGCTACCTTGTTGCTCCAAAGAAAAGTTATCTCCTGAAACTTTCGACTCCGGTTGAAGGCTAATGATCAGGACATAATTGTAGATATGTCACTCATCCCTTCGATGGCGCAGTTTTATCACGGAAGTCGATGATGGCAGAGCTGAAACTTTCTAAAAGAGGTAGGCAATCTAGGCAAGTACTGGGGTGTTGAATTTCCTTGCGAAAATCGTACCGTAAGATAATACAGGAAATCATCATGCAGAGACAAAAAGCCACTTAAGAAGCTGACTTACGAAACAAGACTAAGGTGGCAATAAGTAAACTACAGACAGACTTATTATTTGCACATATATGTGGTTTAGGGAGCGTCTCATTTCTTTGCATTTACACCTGCACTCATACTGTCAAATTTGTTTGAGGAAACTTCCGTTACAAATGAAGCTAACTAGGCGTTCCGGGATTTCTGCTTGGCTGAATTAAACTGAGCAGTGTCGTCTTCTCTCTATAAGGTAAATTGCATATTACTTTGTCATCTCCTTTCGAGAATTCAGAAAAATTGACAGATGCCTTATGCCCAAATTTTCTTTTATTTAATTTTCCTCTCCTAGGGGTACCTTTTCGAAGGCCATTAGAACTCTGTCAAATTTTTCCTATGGATGCTACAAATTTAGGGGCACATGGCGATCCTAGTATTTTGTCGCATTAGCTGAATATGATGAAGTTTGTTGCACCTTGATCATGCACTCGGTTTGCTATTGTCTGTTGCTAAATTTTCCATAACATAGACTGAGGCTGGTTTTATGTCGATAACGGCTTCATATACATTGGAAATGTGCCTGTCTCTGCTAAGCTTCGATACTCTGCATTGTAGTGCAATACTCACGTTGAAAAATCTCATCATCCCTACTGAAGATTTAGCACAATTCAGAAATTTGGACATTTTTAGCCCTGCATTTTTCTTACCTTTATCATTAGCGAGGAACTAAATGTGTCCTCATATTTCGACTTCTTAATAGCAGTTATAAACGACAGATTTCGCACTCAATTCAAAAGAGTGATGATGCCACTGTCGAAGTCATCAATGCGTTTACGTTTGATTTTTCCTGTGTTGACTCTCCTGAAAAAAAGGCTTATTTCTTGATCTTTTACTGGTCTCATGTTTTAAGCGCTGTCCTGTTGTCATTCTTCAGTTTTTCCTACGAGTCATCACTGAGTGCCCTGAAGGTAAGCATAATGATGGAAGCATTTTCTTTCTTCTGAAATTAATATAGGCCATTAGGCTGTGTCCTGCGAGTATTGTGCTCATGGTATTATAAAAATTTGGATCCATGTAATTGTGCAGAAATACCGTGGTTATACTTATGAGATTTGCCATTAAGCGCTTGGACTAAGCATTATTTTGATAAAGTTATAATGACAAGAATGACTTCACTTCACTTTCCATGACCGCACTTTGTTTCGGGTCGCTGAGGCAGACGCATCATACAGTGCTTATAAAGTTTGTGATCCTGTGTCAGCATCTGAGCTTCGCCAGAAGACCGCCGTAATCCACAGCAGACTCTTGCCCCAGGTTAATTTTTGCCGCCGTCTGGGTCTTCTGCTAGTCGACAGAGTAGGTAGAGACTGTCTAGTCTTCCCTTCTGGAGACATTCGCAACGCGAACCATTGCGCTTGTGGCATTATGACACATGTTTACGACAGATATCTGTCCATGCTTACATTACTGGCGATAAAATGGCTACTTTCTGTTGTACTTTTAAACTTTTAACCATTTAAGGGAGTTCAGACTACTCTTCAATTTTCATTTTCTGGTTTTGACCGTTAAACGAGAGCCGAATTTTCTTTCTTCTAACTTAATAGTCGTCGTTCTCTGTTTTGAAAGTCGATAACATGATGAAAGATTTTACCACGATTTTTGACAGCTTGTGCCCACCCCTCACAAAACAAAAAATTCTTTCGACAAGGTTCTTCAGTGGAATGCTGTTCTCGACGACAGAGCTGCTTTAGTTGAAATTCAGAGAATTGTAAACCCCCTTGCAAAGTCACTGGCACCGTTTATGGGGTCATGACTGGTCTTTACTGCTGCCACTGCTGCTCAGCATATATTCCATTGCAGTTTCAACGGTCTTACTGAGTCGCCACCAGAAACCCTTGCTATGAGGACCCTGGAATAAAATGTCAGGAAGCGAAAAACTGAACAGGATTGATAAGTAAATCGGAGGTGCGTTATCAGAAATTACTGACGTTGCTTTGCCTTAAATCTTCTCGAGTTTCGAACAATGCCTATCGCTTAGGGCAAAAATATGTTATACGTGGGCAGCCTGCAGTAACATGTTTGGAAGGAGGGCCAAACGTTTGCATTATTGTTGTTTCTTGTGCTATTTCCAAGGGTTTGAATAATCGCTTTCTATTTTCCGCAAATGACTGTTTTGTTGCAATACGGTTGCGTTGTAAATCAAAATTAAATTCAAATGGGTAGGAGACTTTGACATGTGAAGTACTGTTTGAACAATCCATAATTAGTTCCGTTTGATCATAACGATTGAAAGTGATTTATAGGCCATTTTGTTTATGCTGATGATCGCGGAAGTTGCTTAGCCCTACTGATGAACGATAATCGTTGAATATATTCATTTTTGTTTCATATCTTATATTTTGATTTTAGTGCATTTTTAAATACGAACGATGATCGAAGGGACGAGCGATTTACGAAGAGCTGTCAACGGAAAATACACACTTCCGGAAAACTCGATCGCCGGGGAGTTGCAAAGCAAAATTAGGCAGTTTTTAAGCAGACATAGCGTACGTATTTTACAGCTAATAAAGTGGAAGGTAGTTTCGATGATCGCTGGTTAATAAGAGTGGGTTTTAAAACGCCTCATTTTTTAAAGGCATTACTAAATTAAGCGCTTGAGCTTAATTTCAGTTATTATTAGTTGTCAAGTTCCAATTCAAGTTTAATCATTGAAGCGACTGCATTCAGTAAATTAATTAACGAGTGCCAACTCCTGAAAATATTCGTAATGAGTTCGAGGTGGCTCTATCGGACAAAATGGTGTGTGCTGCATCTGACACTGCAGGTATTCCACTACTATGGAGTCGTAGCCTCCTTAAATGGTCCCCCGGGCAATTATGAGCAATGATGAGCTACCATATGGCATGAAATCTGCTCTTGAACGAGTCACGCATTAGCTGGTATGCGGCGGCGTGCGAATGGTGTTTATGCAGCATACAAGGAACGTCGGATCCTGGAAGGTTGTTCGTACAAATCGTGAGGTGGCTCTAGCAAATCAATTGACACGAGATGCAGCTGGTACTGTAAGTGCTCATAGAATAGTTTCTTGCTCGAATGTTCCCTTTCTTTAGGCAACTAGGAGCAAGGAGCTGTGGAATATTTGGTGAAATTTTGTCTTAAAGGAGGTATAATTAATTTAACAAATTTAATTAATTAATTTATCTAATTCAGTAATTCATTAAACACGTGCTGTGCGAGAAGATCAAGGTTTGTATATGTTGCAGTGCCTGCGCAGAGGAACATGACATTGCATGTTTCGCTTTTTTCCCGATACGATGACAAGGTTTTTGCATGTTATTTTATCGTCCTTCGCAGCAATTCCTTGAGTTTGGAAATCAAAGCTAGGCAAATGTCTTTCATCTGTCTCAGTTTCTGTTACCAATTATCCAACGTCATCTTGATTACTTTCCAACCTAGTCGATAAATTGTCATCCAAACTGCTGATAAATATGCGAAACGATTTCCTCATGCTTTCTTCGAGGATTCATGCATATGATTGGATAATCCTTTCATCAACATTGATCGGGCTTCAGTGTGGATACTTCGATGTTCCCACACGTCAAGCACAGTCATCCTATTCCATTTTGTCCTTGGCAGTTTGCATCCAGTTCTTTTCAGCTATTGCTTCTACGTACATCCGCCCGAGTGGTCGTTTTCTTTCCCTCGAGTGCCATTGGGCAATGCGTGAGGGTGAGGTCCATTGGTTGTCATCAATGCGTGCGACGTGGCCTGCCCAGCGGATCTTACCCTCTCTCATCGTTCGCACGACCTCCTGCACGTAACTCATTGTGCGGAGAGTTCCGTTGTGGATACATCACGAAGAGATGCTCGATGCATCCTTCGTTCAATTGCTCTTTCCGTCAGTCAGTATGTTTTCTTTTGCCTTTGTCGGTTCCGACGTTTCGCATCCGTATGAAATTGTCTTCAACACTACGCTGTTGAAGAGGCCAGCATAGTCTTTTTGATCTGATACTTTGAAGAGATCGATTATTCTATAGAAACCTTTTAATCACGGTTTATAATAAGGGTTCCGTTCACAAGGGCCAAACTATATTACTCCAAATGGTGCAGGAGTAAATTTGCTCTATAAATAGTGCATTAAAGCGGCCTGTTTATTGCAAAGTCCACGCTTTGTTTCACCTGCTATGTTAGTAATAACTAGCCTATGGCGTTATATGCCAGAATGAATTACAATGGAGTTCATTCTTCATGTATAATACAGTGACCTTGATGTTTTGTCATAAACCTTGAAACGGTCAAGTCAACTAGTGAAGCATGGCGTTGATGATCTGCGTATTGATTCAGATTTGACAGCAGGAAGCGAGCTAAGTCATAATTGTGTATGCAAGATGATGCTCGTTGCTGTGAGTCGTACTTGAAAGCTGAATGGCTGAAACACCAGTTGTAACCAGATGCCCCGATTGGGGGCCATTTGATGGTTTGCATATGAATGACGTAAGAAGCCAGCATATGTCGCCTACCTACAGTTTAACAAGCAAATTTAAACATGCTTTGAATTACTCCTGTAGGCACTCAGGCCATTTGAGAAAAGTTACTGTCTTGCTTTAGTGTAACTTTTTGTATCAGGTAAGGAATTCAGTTACTCGTCTCAGCTTATGTGACGAAATCAGTCCACCTTATTTTTGGCGATTATTAATATGGTTTACATAGAATGACTACAGCATGCTGTTGCGCTTTCTCTATGAGGGTCGACATTTCAGATCCATGCAGTGAAACAGGCGCAATAGGTATTTGCAGTCATTGAGGTTTGTTGTTAATTGTTTCAAATGAGGTAGGGTTCAGGAATACCTTCCCATAAACACCTATAGCTAGTTTTTAGTGTCACGCTGAATTATCAGTGAGCTGTGAATATGACTGTCAAACAAAGTACGATGTGTAGAACGAATTGCGATGTACAGATAATCCGTAACTAGCGCTGGCATTAACGGTGATCAGTATGAAAAAGATGCTTATTATCCTGATGAACACCTTCTTAG